GGGAATGAGAATGAGAGAGAGAGGTGACTGGGTGCATGTGGGGGGGGAATGAGAATGAGGGAGAGAGGTGACTGGGTGCACATTGGGGGGGATTGAGAATGAGAGGGAGTGGTGACTGGGTGCATGTGGTGGGGGAATGAGAATGAGAGAGAGTGGTGACTAGGTGCACTTGGGGACACTGGGTGTGAGACAGATTCAGTGTGGAGCCCATTGTCTATTCACAGACCATGGGAACTGTGACAATCACTGGAGCCCTCTGTGCTTTGGTTTCTTCAAGTGTAAAATGGGTAGACTTACGTCTTCCTCACAGTAAGGATTGTGAGAATTAAATGCTGAAATGAATCTATAGTTCTTGGTGTGAGCCTTTCTCACTCATGGCAGAGACAGGAGAGGACAACTTGCTGCGAGTCTTTTTTAGGGTGTCAGTTGTGCCTGTCCACCTCCTCCCCATCTAGTTGGCATTGGAGGGGCTCAGCCAGTGTTTACTGAATCGCCGGCCTGAGATGAGCATGTGTGGCAGCTGCACCCAGCTCAATGCCTGCCTGCAGAGTAGTGGCAAGCAGACCTGTGGGCTATTTCCAGCTCCCCGGTGATCTTGGGCACATTAAACAATTACCCTGAGCCTCACTTTCCTCATTTATAAAGTGGTGATAACATCTTGTGGACCAGTCAGCTCATTTGTTTTCTACTACATTAGAAAGAACTAGAAAAGAACTAGAAAAAAAAAAAACTAGAAAAACCAAAAGCAAAATTGTTAACTTGGAGAATTGTCCTGGGCAAACATTATGCTGAACAAGCACAGTTAATATCTTTGTTTTAAACTCTTCTTTCTTATTTCCCTTTTCTTTTGTATTTTTCTCTTCTATTTTCTTCCTTTTATGTTCCTTTCACTCTTGATCTTTTTTAAATGATATCTTTCCCTCAACTGATTTCTCATTTTTGCCTCTCTTGTTTCAAAATTTATTCACATTAAAAGGCATAGTATAAGTCATTCCCACTATAGTTAGAATTACTTAAAAAAATTCTTATAGGGGCATTTTACAGAAGGAAATAAATGTCAAGAGGAGAATATTTTAAGGGTTAAATCATTTTATTATACAGTGAGTAATGTGGAATCAAAACTCCTCACTCAGCAGGCAGGTTCTTTGAGAGGCCTAGAATGTTCACCATTGAAATTAACTTCACTTTTTAGCTCTAAGGAAGGTGAACACAGAGAGTAGCCAGAGAGTTAAACAGTATGAGGCATAGGCAGGTGGCCATGGAGGGTCACTCTAAAACCTGGTTTTAGATTATGTCTGATTTGAAGGAGCTCCCCAGTGGTCAGTAGAAGAATCTTGTACAGAAAAAAAGATCATAATAAATAGGGAATGTTGAAGAGGACCATTTTTCTTTTTTCTTTTCTTTCTTTAATGGTCATGGTAGGAGTAAGGGATAGAGAAGAGAGAAAAGACTATCTGCAAATACAGCATTGCCTTACAGATCATTCCCAACCAGTGTACACAAAATCTTCTCTACCTCAGTTATATACACCCCCAATCTCATTTAACCACAGAAACAATCTTTCTAGGAAATGAAAGAAATTTTAGTCCAGCCTCCCACCCCAAAGTGAAAAATTCACAACTTTCTGAGGTCAATCATTGGGATTTATTTCTAAGGTGAGTGGAATAAAATACCCTTAGTGTATAATGTGCCTGTTTGTTGGTACTGACATCTGTTTACGATATTTCAGTAGGAAATGCCTACTTTTGGGAAGCCAGGAACTATCTTGTCCTTCTCTGAACTCTCAGCCTAGTGTTATGCCAATGACTTAATGTCCCATTACCATTTGTTTTCCCAGAAACAGAAAACAAGCTCCTTTGGGATGGGGTGAATGTCTAGGAGTTGAAATAAGTGGAGACAGAATCAAAACTAGCAAATTTGACTTCTGGAGCATGACATATAGATCGTACCATTGAGTCAACTTTTAAATCAAGAGATGCTTCACAGTTGAGTGTCACAAACTATGTTTTTATCTGGTAGTTACTTATTGTGACACAATCATGTACCAGGTGCTCTGTTTTGAAATTGCTGCAGGAATGTGTGTGTATGTGTGTGTATGTGTGAACCAGTAGCCTCATCCAGCACGAGGGACGGAAATATACGCTTGCCCATGTTCATGCACGGCCTGGCCTTGGGAAAAATGAGCCGTATTTGGTGTCTTTCTATATATATGTATACACACACGTATATAGGTTAAGGTGACCAGACATCCCGCTTTTGGCCGGACAGTCCCGATTTTGAAAAATTTGTCCCGCGGCATTTTAAGAAAGTTCCAATTTTTGGAAAGAATGCATGACAAGCTAGGGAATAGTGGGACAACAGGAAGGGAATATCCAGTTTTTGGCTGCTGAAAAGGCTAATGTAACTCCATTTGGGAATGAAGAGGTTAATGTAACTTCATTTGGAAATGAAAAGGCTAATGTAAACTCCCTACTCCCCTCCTAGGCAAGGATGCTCAGGTGGACGGGCGCCCTACTCCTTTGAGCCACAGGCGCCGCCCTATACATAATTTTTTTAATGTATTATATTTGTATGTTGTACTTATGTTGAAATTAAAAAGATATATATTACAATACTATTTTTGCATTCTATGAAAATTTTTGTTGCTCCATATAGACCAAATTTTTAATTAAGAACCACCCCCCTACCCCCCCACTCCCCTCACCCTGGTCAATGGTGTCCCGCTTTACCAATGTTAAAATCTGGTCACCTTAATATAGGTATATGCATGTAAGCACCTATACAGACATGTACATATATATACTCATGCATATATTTTTTTCCCCTTCAATTTGAGATGCAAACTCCCATGGCCATGAACTAGCTCCACTCTGGGTTAACCAGTACCTTAAGCCTCCTGACTTTAGGCTGATGGTGGGGGCAGTTGCTCTCCCAGGTGATCTGAACTGAAGAAAAAGGGGATTTTCCCTTGGGGGCCAAGTTTTGGGAATTTACAATTTGCCAATGCTCATCTAAATGCAGGAGTGATTTTATAACAAAATTTGAATAGGGCAAAACCTGCCACTCTCATGACTGGCTAAGAGCCTGGTCCGAGAACCTAGCAGGGGAGAAGCAGAGAGTTCGAGGATAATGCTAAACCACCTTGCAGAGGAACGACTTACCTATGCTGTCGTAGGGGATTATGATGGACCCAGAGTCGACCCACATTTTGGTGTAGATAAGAAGGCACAGTGGCATCATTCCCAGGGCGAGCAGTGTGGAACACGTGGTCATGCTGACACTGAAAGGAAACGGGCCGTTGACACGTCCATCTGGGTTTCATTTTCAATTCGGTGCTAGAGCCTGTCCCAACCAGTAGCCTCATCCAGCACGAGGGACGGAAATATACGCGTGCCCATGTTCATGCACGGCCTGGCCTTGGGAAAAACGGGTCGTATTTGGTGTCTTTCTACTTTGCCTTACACTATCTGCCCCACCTGTTCTCAAGGGTCAGAGAAGATATGCGATGGTGGTTTAAACTCCTTATTAACCAAGGTACAGGGTGCCTAGATGTGCTGCCTTTCAAACATCCCCTCAGAGAACTGCAGACACACTTCCACCAGCCAAGACCAGGGGCCTCTGGTGTCTGACCTTCTGGTATGAGACGGCCTCCTGGGGCCCGGGGAAGGAGTGTGTGTCTGGGGGAAGAGGCCTTGTGGCTTTCCATGAAGCCGGAGAAATACTGCACAAGTGGCCATGGGTTGCAGAAAGAAGACCTCGCTGTCTTAACAAACCTCAGGCAATGCAGGCTCAGATCCCTTGGGCTGAATAAGCCACTTGCAATATACCAGGATCTGGTGTCCTTCTGGCTGAAGGCATTTCTATTTTAGTAGGTGGGTCTGGCTAAGTAAGTGGATTTTGGCTTTTGAGGTGGAGGAATTTATACCAAATGATGCAATTCTGTATTATGACAGTGGATGGAAGAGTGATTTGGGGGCAGAGAGTCTTCCTGGTCCCCTTAAATGTACTTGTACCAAGGGGGCACATTCTCGTCCTTGGTGCCCGGGCTCTACAGCGCACTCTGTCTGGGTTGGAAGCAGGTGGTGCCTCGTAGTGTGTGATTTGGGCCAATTTCCTTGACTTCTGCTTAGGCCAATTTCCTTGACTTCTGCTTATTAGTTTTCTTGTCTAAAATGAAGATCATGATCATCCTTACCACAGAGACTATCAGGATCAAATTAGCAAATGGTGTCTAATACATAGAACAATGCAAGGCATTCATTAAGAATTAGTTATTATTACTATTTATATAATCATAAGTTTGTATATTTTGTGTTTCAAAAAATAGAATCAGAAAATTTAGAGCATTTTTTCTGAAGCCTCTTTCCTCAATAACTGTAGCATTGATTCTGTCAGCAGGGCAATTTCTGAAGGGTATTATGTGCATCCTTGAAGGAAAATGCTGAGTATTTGTAGCACCTGTCCCCTAAAGCAAGCACAAAACAATGCTGCCTGCTACCTGCTGCCTTTCCTGCCGTGGCTAAGGAAAGTAGCTAGAGGGGAACAATTTCTTTTCCTTTTTTAAATGACAGGGCGGAGTTTACTGATAGGAAGATTGATAGAAAGATTGATAAGCAAAAGAGGGGAACAGAACCCCCAGCAGCAGAGGTGGGGGAACCACAGTAGAAAGCTCCTGAGAAATTTCTTTTCAATGCATTTAGATACATTTGCACAGTTTTGGCATAATAAAGGGTGGGGCAAAGTCTGTCAGGGGGGTAACTTGGGTAATATTATCTTAACCAGGAATGACTGCACTTAAAATGGATTTAAAGAATTTAGATAAAAAGACTTGTTTTAGTAGAACTAAAATAGTATAAAAATAACCAATGCTAGTGATGTATTTAAAGCACTAACGAGTTCAATCTATTCTGGTCACAGGTTAACTTAATTTAGATACAAAATAGGGTGTTAAGGCAGAGTCCTACATCAGAAAAATAGGTGAATTTGTTATTAATAGCACTTTGCCCTACTTATATGTAAATTACCGGAGTTGAAGGTGATTTTATCCCCCTCTCTTTCTTCTTCCCCTCCCTCACTGTTCTTTTTATTTTAATTTTCTTTTTTTCAATGTATGTATTGAATGTATTTAAAATTGTCCCCCTAATCAAAGCACCTTTATTCCTGTGCATCCAGTATGTTTTCTAGAGTTGGTGGGAGTACAGTGGGGGAGAATTTGTTACCTGAATCATAGCAAAGAGAAAGCTGAGAATTATTTTTTTAATTGTGAGAAAAACATTTAGACAAAAATCTGCTTCTTTCCTTGTTTTTCTTTCTAATTTCTTTGGGAAGCTTCAATCCTGAATTATTGCTAAGGCAATTTTTGAGGCTGTCTCATGGTTTTGAGTTTGGTGAGAGAAGCTTCTGAAGAACAGTGAGGCAGGACAGAGCAGGTGTTGGAGAAGGCCCTGGCTGAGACTGAGTGGCCATCCTGGTGGTGAGGTCAGCTGTGAGGTGGCTGGAGCTGATGGTATTTGAACTAATACGAGAACAAAGCCAAACCTCTCAAAACGAGAGCTTACCTATCTCAACTCACAGAGAAAGAATTTCAGGGGACAATATAGGGAAATAACATAGCAAAAAAAATTATCTTACATAAAAATTTGAAGGTCTACGAAAGGAATAAATACCAAAAATAAAATAAAAATACTATCACGAATTTATATTGGCATAAGAGAAAATACTAATGTGTAAGAAAATAAAACATCTCTTGGCTTTAATTCTTGGCTTTAGCTCTATTAACTTACAGGAAGAATTTGTGTGTATAGAAATAAAAGAAAGGACAAATAAAAATTAATGAATGTTGAGAATTCAGTGACTCCGTGATGCAAGTGCATGAGATTGTCATCATATTAGAAGTGAAATACCAAGTTCAAGGTATCAAAAGATGTGTATAATAGGTTGGGCTAAAAACTGGAGAATGACAACAGGCAGTAATCATCCAGCTTGGATTCCAGATCTGCCTCTGACATGCACAATGACCTTGGCCAAAGTTATGAACCTTAATTCTGTCATATGTCAAATGCAGAAAATAAGAGTACTGACCTCAGAGGACTCTTTGGAGGATGAAATACATCAATGCATTTTGAATCCTTAGCACAGTGCATGGTACATACTAGTCTTTAAATATCACGTGTGTATAGTAAAACCAAAAGGAATGCTACACAAGAGAAACAAAATTGGGTCACTGTGCAGCAGAATAATGGAAAGAAAAAATCAATGGTGTGGGTTTAGTTCTCCAAGAGTACAAAGGAGATGGACTTTTATGTGGGTGAAATAGAAGGGGTTACTTTGAATTTTTGATAAGCCAGAAGGTCGGTGATCTTGAGTAACTAAAGTATCAGTGAACACCAAACTGGAAACTGAAAAACGTAGTAATATGTGGCCAAAGAACAAAGGATGTGTCAGGAGAATGCGTAATACGGAGATCTACAAAATAACAAAAAGGAATGTGGGAAGTAAGGCAACTGGGGGAAACTGGGGGAAGAAGGCAGAGGAAGGGATTCTCTGAAGGACAAGGCCAAGAAAGGAGGACGAGAAGACATCCTCGCATGATGCGGCTGAGGCCTTGGCTAAAGATGAAGACGCCAGATATCTGGGGAAAAGCAGACACAGAGGAGGTAGCAGGTTTCTCTGTCCTCTGAACCACGGGCCTTGGCCACCCCCAGATTCACCTGGAAAATCACTTTCCTTTCTTTCTCACTTTTTGTGCATGTCATGCCCATGGCCCACCTATAACACAGTGAAAATATCTGTGCACTGATCAGTCAGATTCACAAACAGCTTTCCAGGCCAGGGGGTAGTCAGAGAAGGAGCTGAAATATCACTAGCTGTATTTCACCCAGCAGGGATAACTGGACATTTTTTTAAGTCACTAGAGATTGCAAAATGCAATGGCTTCCCAGCTTCAGAAGTAAAGGGTATGGGGGGAAAGTTTTGGCTTCTTCTCCCAAAAACAACATCAGGAAAGTTAAAGCCCGGTGGAACTGCTTTGCTGGCGTTGTGTGTTATTAGCTCCAGGAGTGAAGGCACCTGTTCATATAATGATGACGTCTTGACTGCCATCGCTGGAGTTCAGTTGGAAATGGAGAAGGCAAAATTCCAAGAGTGTAGAATGGGAAGTATAAATGTCGGATAGGATTGGGTCTAAGGAAGCTACCATAAGACTTTATCAAATACTCCAGAGAAATAAAAAGTTTTGGAAAACTGTTACCCCATGACTGAAGTTTTGGGGTAGCACTTTTTCCTCCAAAGTAGATAATACATAACATCATCATCTTCCATAGCAGCAAATTTAAGGCCCATTGTGAATAATTATCATCATTCACTTGCTACAGTGCGGTGATGTCTTTTGTGCCCACAGGGCTGCTCGTCCCCAGAAGCAGAGGTGCCAGGACTGCTGTGTGTTGTCAGTTGCCTTTCTCTGTGGCACTTTGTGGTTCCTCTTGCTCCTGTGGGCCTCGGCCTTGCCTTCCTAACACTCTGCGTCCTCCCCCACTTCTTATTTCTAATCATCTGTATGTTGGGAAATAGCCCAACAGAGTCTTAGAGTGAGGAAAGTTAAGTAGGCTCCGAGTGAGGAGCATTGACAAGATTAAGTGGAATTTATTTGGTGTGTATAGTGTTTCCCTGGGTCTTGGGTTCTGGATAAGAGCGGTCGCTCCCCAGTCATTTCGAGCTTATTCTGACTTGCCGACAGATTCATTTACACAGATTCAGCTGAGGTTTCATATTCTACTTACGGTTCTGATTGCTCATTTTTTACTAAAATAATTTACATGAATTCTTATATTAGGTAGACAGGATTACAAACTCAGCTCTTGTTTTAAGAGAACTAGGATTTCCTTCAAACCACAGCAAGATGTGACTGGAAACTTTTAGAATAGGTCTTCCCACATTAGCCCACAGTAGAGAATCCATTGCAACCGCCAAACAACCCCGCATGACACACGCTTTTGCTATCTTACTAAAAGTCTTACATGGGTGGCATTGTGTTGAGGTGCAAGATTCTTTCATATTGTTAAAAAGCTACAGGTATGGCTCGGCACCTGTGGCTCAAGTGGCTAAGGCGCCAGCCACATACACCTAAGGTGGCGGGTTCGAATCCAGCCCAGGCCCGCCAAACAACAATGATGGCTGCAACCAAAAAATAGCCAGGCATTGTGGTGGGTGCCTGTGGTCCCAGCTACTTGGGAGGCTGAAGCCAGGAGACTCGCTTGAGCCCAGGAGTTGGAGGTTGCTGTGAGCTGTGAGGCCATGACACTCTACCCAGGGGGACAGCTTGAGGCTCTGTCTCAAAAAAAAAGAAAAAAAAAAAGCTACAGGTATTATGTATGAGCTGCTTAGCCAAGGTCAAAGCCTAGTGCTTTTTAGTTCATTTCCTTTAATAGGTGTTGGTGTGTAGAATTCTCACTTCTGTGTACCTGTGTCCAGGACAAACTAACTTGAAGTCTAAAAGGACCTTATTGCTCTATTGCGGTTCACAGATTAACTAAATCTGAGCAGCACTGCATCCTTTGTTCTTTTATAGAACTTATCTTGAAATAACTCTATTGCAAGGTGGATAGTGCATTTTCTTACGTGACAGTTACACAGTGTGGAAGTATGTGGTTTGTGTGACTTTTCTAAAGCTTCTGGAGAGATCAGCTCCAGTTGAGACAAGACAGCAGGTTTCTAATTGCTCACTAGGTGCTGGATCAATCCGGTGGTTGCATTTTTCACTCTGTCCTTCTCTCGTCTGTGTTTGTTAGCTGGGGATTAACAGAGCTGATCGCCTACTGTACAGCGGGCAATAAACACATGTTACATTAACACCTGGACGGTTTGCGGAAATGCACACTTTTCACAGGGGATGAGGAACTGTGAGGTAAGGAAGAAGACATTGCCTATTCAACTTCCAGCATTAAAATTCTTGGTGTAGTCACATTAATGCTGTTTCTTATTTCTATTAGTTCCCCCTGCCCCCAAGTGCTAGTTCAGACTGGCACAAGATGAATTGGGCACACACTGCAATTTAGATTACTCTGTGGGAAGCAGAGAAACCATTTTCTGTTTATTTTCTAGTAAGGTAAGCATAATTTTTAAAAAAGCTGCTGTAGGCTTTCTTTTTTCTTTTAATGCCAGTAGAGGTAAAGCACATTTATGAATTTTTATGAATTCTTCCTTAGGTTTTATACCAAGAAAAAGTTTGCCCAAAGAACTGCCTGGATTTGGTAGAGTTCACCACTGTCCCCCACAGTTTCTAGCGTTTTGATGAATGGTTTGATTTCATGATTGCACCCAGAGCTCCTCATTATTACAAAGACAGTGGTTTTTTTTTTTTTTTTTTTCTGATACCAACAGGATAAACTTCCTCAGCTGCAGCATGTGTGTTGGAAAAGATTTCTTTTTTATAAAACTTTGAATTTTTTCTCAGAGATGGACACCAATTATGTAGCACCCTGTTAACTGAGTCAGATTGAAAAATACAAACATGAACTAACAAAATGTAACCCCCAAATTCCAGTAGCCAAGCAGCTGTGCCCAAAGGCTTGAGAATGCACTTATTCTCTCTTGTTTAAAACTTGGTCATAATTTAGATCAACAACAGGTCAGATGGGCATTCTGAATGCCAATTTCAGTTCATCTGAAAAGATGAACTGGCACGACCTTAGTAGTTAGAGGGAGTAAATCTCTTACCTGAGGTCCATGTCACCATCTGCCCAGTAGGCCAGGATATTGGAGGCAGTCCCCCCAGGGCAGCAGCCCATGATGAGGACCACCACAGCCTGGACAGGGAGGATGTTAAAGGCCACCGACAGGACAAATCCCGTGAGGGGCATGATTCCAAACTGACAGAGGATGCCGACAAAGATGCCCCACGGCCGCTTGATGTGCCCCAGGAATTTCGGGAATTCGACATTGCATCCCATGGAGAACATCACCAAGGCCAGCAGGATGGTCAGCACGGTGCTCATGACCACACTGAGAATAGAATTGGAATTGCTGGCCTGGACCACACAAGATGTCCCATTGCAAACAGTTGCATGGGCCAAACAGCCTGTTGAGTTATTCATTGCTGGCCCCGCTGCTCAGGACAGAAGCACTGGTCCCTGGATCCCGGCGCTGCCACCAGTCAAGGTAAGTAATGCTCGCTTCAGCCATGTCACACTTTTAAACCCTTCCTAGACATGTGTCACTTGGTGCCTCTTTCAAATGCTACCTTTAGAGAAGCAATAAAAACCAATAAATGCCAGTATGTCAGGTTCGAGGGGTAACATTACAACACAGTACAAATTGTGAATCATAAAAGCTCAGCAAAATTATTGGTCCAGACAGAGAGTTATAATTAATCATTTATTGGCATGAAAATGAACCGTGCCACATAAAAAGAACCATGTTAATGTTTAATGCCAGGAAGGTTTGCTGAACAATTTCAGTTAAGTGACACTTCAGATCAATTCTGAGTATTACAGAACATTGTAGGGATCTACCCAGAGGACAGCATATTACTCCCCCACCTCCCTTTAAGGAGAAGGGATTGGGGCTCTAAAAAGAGTGCCCCTGTATTGCAAATTATGTGTCAGGCTCTGAACTGGAATCCAGATCTCCAATTTCTTCTCCCAAGAATTTTCCCACTGTATCCAGGCTGTTCCCTCATATTGCTCTACAGTGATCATAAAGTATAGATAAGTTTAGGAAACTTGTAGGGACTTAGTGCAAACCTATAGTGGAGTAATGTTCAGGAGGATAGAATGCTGTCCGTGATTTCTGCTGGAAAGGAGTCTGACTTGTACAGCTACCCTCAATTACTTACACATGCAATTATGTATGCGTTGCCATAGTAACTAAGTGCTTTATAGATAGAGACAATACAATTATTTAGAGGGATGAACCTCAGAGGATTAGGTCAAAGTGACAGGATTTCTTTGAGCTTGGAGAGAATTGAAATCAGAATTTTTTTTTTTTAAGTGGCAGAGGAGATTCCAAGGGAGATTTTTATAAATGATAAATAGTCAACCTCATTATGGGCAGAACACCACGGCATTGCATGTTTAGGGAAGATAACAAAAGAGGTAAAAGAGAGATAATCCTGTTTCCAGGAGTTTAGAACCCAATTATTGCGTCAGGACACAGCCTAGGACCAATATTAAGTATTTCTATCATGATTCACAATTTGTGAAAAAACGCATTCTAGTTTTTTCTTCAATTTAATCATCTTAAATTAAGCAGGATTCACCATTTTATAGATGAGGACTTAAGAGCTGAGGAAATCAAGAGCTTTATTCAAGGTTCCCTAGCTGGCTACTGGAAATGCCAGAATTCAACCCTGTAACTATGGTCAGAACAGGGTCAGTTTGGCATGGGGGGATTTGGAGCAATAGCTTAGAACAGAGCTTCTCAAAACCGAGTGTGCCCACAAATCCCTTGGGAGGCTTGCTAAAATGATCCTGGAAATTTAGGACGAGATTTTCTTTCTAGCAAGCTCACAGCCAGTGGTGATGACACTGATGTGGGATCACACTTTGAATGTCAAGGGCTTGGAATATCAGGGTGACAACAACCATACCTAAACTGGCAACAACGGAACTTACTGGTCACAACAGAACACAGCGTTTGCAGAGTAACTCGATATGGGAAAATTAATTTTTTCATAACTTGAGTCAACGCAAGCCATGGCCAGTGTGGTGATCTCCAGACAGTGGAGTAAAGACAGTCAAATGCCCCAGCTTCAGGGGCCAGGGGGTGAAGTCCCTTTCATCTGGGATTGAGCCATTGGGAAAAATCTGAGCCAATTTTTTACCAGCTGACAGTGATTTTTGATGCTCTGTCCAGGAGAGCACCTCTTCAGGGGTTTGGTCCCACCATCTGGCCTTTTGAGGAGGGGCTAATGGGCTGCCATTAGCTCTGGCCTGGCTGCCTGGCAATTCCTGGAAAATTCTCTCATCTCTGGCATCTCCTCCATAACCCCAAGGGTTAAGTGATAAGCTAGGTGATTCCCAGAGAGGCCTCTCCTTCCACTCTGGGTGTGTCATGACTTGGCCCTTCCCTGTTGGCCTCTCCAAGCATCTGGGACTGACCTCTGGCCTACTTTCGTCAGGAGTGAGCCCATTGGGGCAGTGAGCCCCATGCGCCCCCTGCTGCTGCCCCCAGCACCTGCGGCTCTTCTCCCCAAGTGCTATTCTATTTGAGGCAGCGCATGTGCAGATAAATTTACTCTCTCCTCTCTGCTTTCTCTTCAAACAGGAAGTTAAATGCAGAAAGCTACTAACCTAGGATCTAACAGCAAATAGCCTCTTTACTTCACCAGGTCTGATGTGCAAAGGGAAGTCTGAGTCCTACAGATTGGAAGGATTTGGATTTTGAAATTTCTCTTAAATTTGAAAGGCTACAGTGCAAGGCTAATGCACAGGGCTCAACAACAGCTTATTTAGACATCCTCCTTTGAACTCAGATGGGTTTCCCAGGGGAACCTGTGTTTGGGGCCTTGCCTGTGGCTGGGTTGGCCAAGTGTAACCAGGTGTAATCCATAGGTAGGCTTTTAGTCCACAATGCGGGAAGCAGAGAAGAAAAAGTGAAGAGAGAAGAAAGCAGGTTCAGAACAAAGCTCTTCTCAAATTTCAGATGACTTGCTAAGGAGATTTTAGACTCCCAGGGGCAGAATGCTTTGCATATAGACAACTTGCAAATGAGCAGTCTGTTTGACTAGACAGAGTGCTACAATTCTGTTTAAAAAAAATGTGCCAATGCATTTCTAATTTTCACATTGTTTTTACATAAATTTGCACATTAGGCTGGAGAGGTTTTATATTCAAGTATTGGAGTGATTCACAATTAATTAGTACCCTTAACTTCAACTACATTCACATCTAGGCATTGCAAGTCAACTACATTCAAATCTAGACATTCAAAGTATCTAAATATATAAAAACAACTCTCTGTGATTACAATGCAGAATTGGGGAACAGAGGCACACCTGAGGGTAGTCAGGAGGCTGGGGTTTGGTTTTCATTGTCATCTTTCTTAATCTTTCCTGCTCTGTTTCGTTAAGCACTGGCTCACATACAGAAACCAGCAACAGATTCCTGGCCTTGTGGGTGGAGATGTGGAGGATCATGGTTTAATTTGACTTCTGAGGCTTCCCTTTGGGTCCCATGTATCATTTTGGAGAAGCCAGGATTTAACAGCTTTTCAGCATGTCTGCCCTGGAGTTCATGTGATGAAAGATCAGCTTTCTATTTTCTGTTGTGTTTCATCAGGGACAGCTCTATTCAGATCACCTGGCCTTCTGGGACTTGAGTGATTCTCTTGGGCACCTACCTGTGACTGAGATTATCTCCCTCTCTCTTCTTTCCAGCTCTTCCTACAAACTGGTTTTCTTTGCAACTTTAAAGTATCATCATTGGAGTTATCTGAAGTCACCACTGACCTCTTTGAAGCAAACAAACAAAAACCATGGGGAGAATGACCCACTAATGACTAGCTATGTGTTTGTGAGGATGAATCAAAGGAGAAAGTCAGTATAGTATTGAGGAGAGGAAAATGGGATAGAAGGATATGGAATTTACTGGATGGAAAAGTACTAGGTTTGGATTCAGAAGAGCTAAGATTCAAGGTTTGCTACTTCTGAAAATCCATGTTAAAACCTTTAGGAATGAATGTGAATCTTTATTAAAAGTCATGCTATCCCACTTTGGAAAATGATTAAACCTAAATCTACACATGTCCTGTGACCCTAGGACTAGATTCCAGTCCTAGTTATCAACCTGAAGAAACTTATAGAGCTCCCTAAACAACATGAATTAGAATGTTCATAGTAGCTCCACTCATAATAGCTATAAACTGGACACTATGCAAACGTCCATCCAAGATAGAATAGGCAAATGTATTGTGCATCATCACACAATGGACTGCTATACATGAGGTAGGATTAATAATCTGCTACCACAGTGGTGGGTGAAAAAAGCCAGACCCAAAAGAGCACAGACAAAAACAGGCAACCCTCATCTCTGGTGTTGGAAGTCAGGAGAGTCATTACCTCGGAAGTAGGGGAGAGCACAGATGAACCGGGTCACAAGTGTGCTAGACCCCAACATGCAGGAAGAAAAACTCAAAACCCAAGTCCAATATATTTGATAAGAAAAGACTGTTAAAAATACATACTCAACCTAAAAAAGGCTGTAGGTAACACTAGACTTTCAAGAAAGTCTCCAGAGAATAAGGCTGGGAGCAGAGGTGGGAGGTGATGGGTTGAGCCTAGGGGCTGGGAAGGCTGGAGGTGGACAGATAGTTCACCTTTATCATTGTATAGGAACAAGGGTTGGTCCTGTTAACTGTTCTATGTCTTAGTCACTTTGTTGTTGCTGTTGTTAACCAATTAAACATTTTCTAAATGTCTAAAAACATTAAGCTCTGCTGACCTATTATTAAGCATTTTGGTTAATCAGTTCCATGTGAACACTCATGCCAATCCTCTTGGTAGAAGATGACTTTTTCATGCTTTCTGGTTCATTAGGATCACATGGTCTGAAAGCAGAAAATCCATGTGTTTTGCTGGTATCTCTTATGTTTCTTGCAAACTTGATTTTGTCACTTAGATTTTTTACTTGGTTTTTAGAATGTGTATGAATACTAAATTTCTGTGCATCCATAAGCTGGTTTTGTGGTCGATTGCGTTATTGATCTCAGTTAACTGCTTCCCACTTCTCTCTAATGGGATCATAGGGCCACACCTGTTGAAATTGACTTGGTGTGCTTCCCTGTTGAAGGAATAATCAGTTGTGAAGTGTGGGTGTTGAGTTATGGGAACTGCTTTGGCTGAGTAAGTAATGCCGATGGGTATGCCTCTTCTGAACAGAAACTAAGCCATGGTGAGCTGGAAGATCCCAGCTAAAAGCTATTCCTTCATCTGTTCCTAGAATGAGCAGACATGTGGCACAGCAGCCACATGCAATATGAGTGCGTGTCCTAAACCTCAGAGACTAGGGGGCTTTTGTTAGGAACTAAAATCTAGCAAAAACTGTTACTTTTCTTCTTTTCAAGCTAATCAGATAAATGTTTTCTGTGAGTTACAAGA